AGCCCCAGCGATGCACGCGGGGCAGTGTGCCCCACTCTGCCGTCCTCTGGAATGGGAGTATGGGTTGCTCAGAACTTCTCAACCATCCGGCCCATCGGGCCCCTCAGCACTCACTGCTGACCGCTCCGCCACCCTCTTGTTTCACAAACTGGGCCTGGGGCCGGAAGCACCAACTTCTACTTCCTGCAGTAGCTCCTAGCCATTCGCCTTTGTTTTTGAGAGGAGACAGGCCCAGCTTTGGAGAAAAGGAAGGAGTGAAAACAGTGCAGAAGTTGGGATTCCAGTTGGTGACGCTGTTTATTGAGAGGAAATCTTGCTGCACCCAGACATTCACTTACGTGGAGGTAGCCACACCACGAGTATCCTTTCCCCATGACAAGCAAACCATATGCGAAAGCAAAACCCAACAGAGTACGTGAACAGGTACGGCAGGATGGTACTCTGAAAGGGGAAATTATAAAGATATGTGATGATTGTCTCTTCAGCATTGCATTTGGTCATATATTTTTTACATAATTTTGTTTCTTCTTAACCTAAAGAAAACACTCTTGAGCAGGGGTTAGCTCTTAAAGCAATAAACAAGAGGAAAGTAGGTATATATAACATATATATGTGATCAAAGCATGGCTGTGTTCAAGCTGGGAAGGACCTGGGGCCCTAATCTTCATCTCATCCCAGCCAGCACCCTGTCAAGGCCGAGGGTAAGGAGATGAGTCAGGGCCCACAACACCTCTCCACACCCAGGGCTGTTCCCTTCCCGCCCAACGTACTGCAGGCTCCTGGCCGCTGGCGACTGCACCGCAGTGGGGGACCGCATTAACATCTTCACGGCACAATCAACATCTTCAGTGGCTCTTTCTAGGGTGACAGTGAGAGCCATTCCTGTCCTCTGCTCTACTCAGGGGCCCTCTTGCTTCCAACAGCCACCTTAAAGGCTACCAGCAAGAACAGGCGAAAATGAGAGGAAGCGGCTTTTCCATCAAGCAAAGCGGATGCTCCCTGCCCAGCTTCCGGGCTGGCTGATCTCTCCCCACGCTCTGGGTACCTGAATGCGAGGCATCTGCAGGCTGGCTTCCTGGCCGGTGTTTGGAAACATGGAAGCAACAGGGAAGTGAAATACATTCTGAGGGTCCAAGGATCCCTGTGATTGTCACATCCCCAAGAGGGCAGAGGGCTCAGGGCTGAGCTCCGTGGTGCCCGGCCCCGTGTCCACTTGGCTACTGTCTGGCACCCACTCTGCTGACTGAGCACCAGGAGGACCGTTTTCACCCACTGTATTCACTGCTATCCCAGTGCCAAGGGCTGTACCCGGCACACTGCAGGTGCCCGACAGATTTGCCACATGGACCAGAGGCTGAGGGAGGGCCTGCCCGCACTGGAGTGAGCAGGGGCCATGGCCACCCCTCACAGTGAGGGCACACGAGTGGCCAGTGTGGTGGCAGAGGAGGGTGTGGCTCTCCAGTTCCAGGTGCCCACCCTTCCATACACTGAGGACTCTGCCTCCTGTTGAGCAGCTCTGGGACCCAAGGTAAGCGAGACCCCTGCCAACTGCCATGGACTTCTCTGGCCCTCAGCTCTCCCACCTGTCATTACAAGGGGCCCCACGGAAGCTGTCTTGGCCCCATAGCTACGTCCCACGTCCTCTCCCCGGCCTCTTCCCACCTGAGCTGCCCAGCCCGCGCCCTGTGGGTATGCAGGGCTTCTGCATCCTCCCGACACCGCCCTCCCTGTAATCCCACCCGTTTTGGCCTTGCACCAGACCTAACCTTGTGCCCGAAAGTAGCAAGGAGACCTCCAGTTTGCAGACAGGTCCCACTCTTCCTCCCTGAACACCGCTCCAGCTCCAGCTCGAGTCCCCCTATCTCCAGTCCTGCGGCTCTTGCCCTTTTCCACCTTCTTCCTCACGCGCACCCACACCCACAGCCGTTGTGCCCTCTCTCCCCCGCCCTCTCCCCAGGACCTCACTGAGCACCTCCTGCCTCATCCTCACACCTAGGCTGACAACCTGAGCTCCCGTCCTCTCCATGTTAGGCCTGAGCGTGGAGCTCCAGGCCCCTGGCGGGGGAGGCAGAGGACCACGTGGCGCAGCAGCCCAGTGCCGCCAGAGGCCACGTCACCTGCTATACACCTAAAGTCTCCCCACTCCTGTGTGTACAACGGAAACTGGCGACCAGAAACTGGTCTCGCATGGTCCAGAAACTGTAGCTCTAGATGAGATGAGCAACCAAAGCCCTAAATACAGCTCACAGGCGACAGTGAGGCTCCAACTCTCACACCCTTGATCAGCAACAGCGGTTTCCCAGGCCGCCTGCGCCTGTGCTCGCTCCCAGGAAGGTCCCTACGATCCTTCTTTCCAACTCTGGTCTCCAAAGTGGTCTACATTCGACCTTGTCTCTCATCTCCGCTTCTTAATGAAGCCTAGCAGCTTTGAGTTTTAAGAAAGAATGCTCAGGATATATATGTGAACTGTACAAAGAGCCCACCCTGAAGAGGTGGCAGAACGGTCTAAAATGTGTCCGCAGCGGTCTGTGCGAAGGGCTGGTGTGCGGTACGTTCACCATGTCCTCTGCACGTGGTTCTGAAGTAGGAAGGTGCACTTGGGACCCTTTCTCTTGGAAGGGAGGCACAGCTGTGAAGGACCGGGTGTTCATCCTACCAAGGCACTTTTCTCCAAACGGGCCAGCAGGCGGTGACTCCCTCTCAAGACCCTGGAGACCCACGGAGCACCGTGAGCTGTGTGTCGGGGTGGCCAGGGGCTCCCCGCACTCTGCTCTCCCTGCTGCCTCCTGCATGGGCACTGCAGAGTTGCAGCAGCAGTGAGGGCCGCAGTTAGATCTGGCTGACCACGGTGCTGTCCCTGGAGAAAGTGAAGCTCAGCGGAGCTTCATAGAGGCTCCCGCCCTCGGTGCTGAGGTCATCGTCGTCATCCATGTCGTCCAGCATTTTACTCGGCAGCTTCTTAAGTCTGCGGAGACAACACAGGCGTGGTTCCTCGGCCAGGTCCCTCTCGGACGTGGGGTGGAGCAGGGCCTGGGGTTCCTGGCCTCCACCCCTCTAGGTGCATATGAGCACATTCACCTCACCAAATCCTTCCAGGCAGGAAGCTGGTGTCGACCGCCTGGGCCAAGATCAGAGCTACCGATTTCTCCAGTATGGCTTGACAGGATATTCATCCTATCCTAATTTAAACTTTGGGTATCTTAATCTCCAAGGGCTGCATGCAATAAACTTTAAATTTGGCAGTAACTTCCTGTTGTACTAAAATGTGATCTATTCGGGTGCCCCTTAAATGTCACACCCTAACACTGACCTGGGGCCCAGCTCCCCATGAACAGGCCCCACGTGGCCACATCCTCCATGGGCTTGTAAGCGCCACCATCTGTAAGAGCAGCACTTGGCCGGCCAGCACGCTGCCCGGCACCGCTGGCCTCCAGGAAAGGCTGGCTGCACGGTGGGCGTGGGCCTGGGGAGAGGAAGTGGCCCCTGCAAGCCTTGTCTGACTCCTGACCAGGGAAGCTTGGGAGAGCACAGTCCTTTTGAGGATAAAAATCAGAACATCCTCCCTCAGACCAAAGCAGCAGGGTCTAAGCTGACCTGTCTGCTCTGAGCCGCAGGCTTCCCTGGGGTCCACAAGAAGTCCCCACCCACCTGACCCTGCTGGAAGGACAGCGCACACAGGACCCCACCTAACCGTGGACCGAGCCACTTGCATCTGCAGGAAGGGATGGCCCTGGAAGGCAGCAGGGAGGAAGCGGTCTAACAATACTCTGAGAGCAGCGAGCGCTGCTCAGATGCTGGGGACTGTGGAGCACCACCTTCCCTACCTGAAGTCCTTCTTCATGGCGTTGAGCTGCCCCTGCAGCTGCTCGTTCAGGTCCATCTGCTCCTCCAGCTCCCTTTGCAGCTTCTTCTTTGAACTTTCCAACCGGTCGATTTCCTCCTCGGCCTCTTCCACCTGCCGCTTCATTGCTTTCAAGCGCAAGCTCAGCTGCGGCAGGAAAGAGGCGGGGCTGAGGGGTGCACCGGCCCGGCAGCGATGTGGGGGCCCACCCGTCTTCTCCCTGGCAAACCAGTCTCATGGTTTCTGAAAGTCAAGCTTAGCATTCGAGGACTGTGGAAATTCCCCGTTCTGTGAGCAGAGCGGGTAAGCAGAGGGGAGGAAGCCCAACGCCACTGCCGGTCTCCCTCCCCCGGCCCCCGCCTGCGGTGGGAACAGACGCCTCACCTGGTCCTTCTGATCTGTCAGCGACAGGTGCTCATCGTCCACCTGCATCACCAGCTCCTTCACCTTCCGCTCCAGCCTGCGGTTGCTGAGCTGCAGGCTGGCACGCTCCCTGCAAGGGCGGGAGGCAGAGCAGAGTCCCTCTCATTCTGGGCCCTGCGGGAGGCTCTGGCCCCACCACCCAGGGGTACCTGGTCAGCTCGAGCTTAAGGTCAGAGAGGACAACTACACAGGAGGAAAGATCAAAACAGGACTTGAGAAGGGAGTGACTTGTTAAGGCACAGGGAGCTAAGCTGGGCCAGAACTGTCCTGACTTAATTCTAATGCAGAATCGCAGCCAGCCAGTGTTTGGGGTCCACTCCAGGCCACTCCAGCACGACCCCCTCAAAGTCCCCTGGAAGGCAGATCTTATGCACATGTGCAACACCTCCCAAAGGCCGAAGGGTCACAAATGAGAACTAGGACTGATCACATTCATCCTGGTGCTGGTCCTCTGGCTTGTGGAGACAGCTCCCTGCGGAGAATCCTGGGCTTGGGAAGGAGTGGCCACCCGGTCTCCTATCTGCCCGCCCACCCCCACCGTGGGGGACCCGCTCGTCACTGCCAGGTGGCCAGTGGCCTCTTCCCCCATGCGGTGTCAGCCCATGGAGAGGAAGGAGAAGGAGTGACATCGAGGCCACCCTTGCTCCGCCTCTCCCCAGGCTGTGGGGATGGGAGGGACCCTCGACGTGGGGCACTCCGAGGGGGGCATGCGCACCTCTCCTCGCTCTCCAGACGGTCCTCCAGCTCCACGATCCGGGCCTCCATCTGCAGCACCAGCCCCTCCTTGCTGGACCTGTGGGAGCCTTCCAGGTGCACAACCCGGCTCTTCAAGTCCTTGTTCTGGAACCGAAACGGGACGGTGAGGGCACTCCCTGAGAGCCACACAGGAGGGCGGTGTCTATGGTAAGGCTGCTTCCACCCCAGAACGGGAGTCTGGCGGCCCAGGGATGGGGAGAGGCACACCCTGGGCTCAGGCCCATTCCCTTAGAAGCCTGAATAAACTCTAGTGTGTCCTGAGGCTCCCAGGCTGTGCCGTTTGCACTGGAATTCAACTCCGTGGGGCTCCGCGCCAAAGCCCGGCAGAGCGGGGTCCCGTGGGCTCGGCGCCCTCACCTGTCTCTCCAGGGAAATCTTGTCACACTCCAAGTCTTGTCGCACGCCGCGCTCCTGAAGAAGCTCGTTCCTTATCTGCTCCATCTACGAGCAGAGCAGCCCGAGGTCAGGGGGTTGTTTCCACAGCCTCCGTCCCACAGTGGCTCCCAGGGGCTGAGTTCTAACAACCACGCCCACTCTTTCTCAGGGAGGCCGGCGCGGAGCGGGCTCCTCATGCCATCTGCCCGGAGCAGGGCGTATTTCTGAGGCGTTCTTGGCTTCTCAATGGTTGCAACGATGGCGCACAGACAACAACCATCATCACAGCTAACCCTGCTGCTCCGGGCTGAGCCATGGCCTCCGTGTACACACAGAAAAGGACGCTGATACCCTAGCCCGCAGTACTCCCGGCGGGGCCTGAACTGGAAACAGGGCCTCCAAAATGAGGCGCTGAGCTGGCCTAGTCCAGCCTGGCCGCGTCCTCACAGGAAGGGAAGTCTGGGTCAGAGCCGCGCGCACAGAGGGAGCTGCCAGGGGAAGGGCTGGAGTGACACAGCGACAAGCCAGGGCCGCCAGAAACCAGGACGAGGCAAGGGAGGGTCCTCCCAGGGGTCTCCGCCAACACTGACTTCGGACTTCCGGCCTCCAGAGCTCTGAGACAGTCAGCTTCCTTGTCCTAGGAATCCAACTTGCAGTGCTGTTTCAGCAGCGGTAGGGAACTGCGCTATCCTGCGCACTCCAGGTACTACAGCCCCGCAGAGCTTGGAGAGCCACTCACTCGCAGGGGCCAGCGCCAAGCTCACTCAGGCTGGAGATGCCCCCAGGACAAGGACCCTTCAGTCCTGGGACGGGGAAAGCCCCAGGCGAGGCAGGCTGCGCAGTCACTCAGCTGGCCCGAGAGCTGCAGAGCTGGACGCGACGCGGCACGCGGCGGAAAGGCGCCCGGTGCGCGTCCCACCAGAGCCACGTTTCTCCTTCCTCGTGCCAGACAGAGGTGGGGACACTGTGCTACCCCGGGCCTGACGGGGCGCCCGGTGACGAAGCTGCCCTCCGCGTTGGTGGGAAAGGAGCCTCGCCATGTCAGCGCTGTGTCCCTGCTCCCTGCTCCCTGCTCCCAGGGCTCCGCGGGAGAGAAGAGTCAACGCGGAGGCCGCGCCCACAGGCAGAACCGCTGCAGAGTGGCCCAAACGCCGCACCAGGTTTGGGGCGCAGGTGCCAGCACGGTAAACTGCCCCTTCCCTCTGAGGCTGGGTAAGAACTTCCAGGGTTCAACACGGCCCCAGGACACACGCGGAGTCCCCAGACACAGGTCCTGGGGCGCATCTGAGACAGGCTCGCCTGGCCTGGCACCGAGCTGTTTTGGTCACCTGTTCAGGCAACTTTGCGGCAAAAGATAAGCTCACGCCTCCCACCACCAGCGGGCAAGAACGGCGGGCGCTGGGAACGGCGGGAGCTGCCACACGGGCCAGGCCCCCGTCTGACCTCCGCGTGCGCACAGGACGAGGAGGGGCAGTTGTGTCCAGTCCCGAGCAAGCGGCCGGGCGGGACAAGCTAGAAGGCTGGCGGGAGAGGAGGCCCAGACGGGGCCTCAGGCGGGGCAGGGGGAGGGGGTGTACCGGTTCAAAGCAGAAAGCCTGCACTTTCTGACAGGCAGCCTTCCAGTTATGTGAGCCTCCAGCAGACGCACCGAGGCCCAGGGCAGTATCGGAAGTTAATGGAGGCAGCTGCTTGAACCCAGGCCGAGCCAGTTCACTGCCCGCCCCCTCACCTTCTCTGATCACCGCAGGGACCCATAAAGAGCAAAGGATTCAAAGGGAGTTCAAGCACAAACACGGCTGTAACACAAACAGCAAAGCACGGAGAGGGGCCAGGGTCACGGCACAGAGCTGTCCCGCGTTCAGCTCATCGGGGAGGCGGGCAGCAGAGCACAAAGTGTGCTTGGCAGGGAGGGAAGGAGGAGCTCGAGGGGTGGGGTGACCCTACACAGCGCATCAGACGGGCGACCACAGGAGAGAGCAACACCCTTGGCACCTGCAGCCCCTGCTCCCTGCCGGGGTGGGCACGCAACACTGCCAGCCACGGGGCAGGAGGAGGGCCCCACAAGCCCCGCTCACAGCAGCACGCCGGCAGCCCTGACCGCAGGAGAGTGCTACCACACCCCAGGTTTTAAGTCCAGCTTGGGGAGCTGGCTGGTCTCCCAGGGACCCCTCCACCCTGAAGAACCTTCTCCCTCTGGGCCTCTCTCCGCGCTCAGGACCAAACCACCACAGCAGGAAAACACCACCCCACCTTGGGGCCAACCACAGCGTGCCTGGCCCCTTGGCCTCCTGGATGGTGCACAGCACCCCCTGCAGTTCAGGGCCAGCAGCTGCAGCAGCCACAAGCATGGGTTCCTCCTGCCTGAGCAGGGAAGTCCTCTCCAGCCCACACCCTGGGACCGCAGCCCCCGCTGCGGAGTTCTGGCTTCATTTGCATGTATCCACCGCAAGCCAGGGGAGCCTTTGTCCCTCTCTCTCTGCCAAGCGCTACAGCTCCAAGAACCCTCTTACAAGTGGTCCTTACACTTGCTTGTGAGCTCTCGGGAAGGTCCCCTGCCCAGCTCATGGCTTAGGATGCTCCTGCAGGTAGGAAAATCCTTAACATCACCCAGGCTGCTCTGTGTCCCAGGGACAAGGTGAAAGCTGCATCTGTGTTCTTCAGCGCTCAGACTGAAACTACCAATGCCACAGGCCCCACCCTTGCTAGAGCTTTCCCCATACGACCTAGGGGCCTCCCCACCCACACCAGCCGCTCTAGGAGCACAGGCAGCAAAGCCGCAGCCCTCACACAAACCCTCGCACAAACCCTCACACAAACCCTCACATCCATCTGCAACCTGCAGGACCTAGGAAGGGTCCCTCCGTGTCCCCCTCCAGGACACCACAGCCCTAACGTTATGATGTGCTCTGGAAGGCCTAGGCAGCACCTTCTCCACAGCACACAGACTTTGCACCAAGCGGCTAGAACCAAAGCCCTGGTACCACCTGTGCTTTTCCCCTGCGGTGTGCAGAAGACATCAGCTGGCTCCTGTATCTCCGCAAGAGCAGCAACACACAGTAGCCCAGGGGCCGTGGAGAAAGTCCCCTCTGTGTTCCCAAACCTCAAGTCCACAGTTACCGGGGCCAGGCACTGTGCTCTCGTGTGGGACTCAGGAAAGGCCCACCCCTTGGCCCCAAAGCTTGGCTGTTGCTGCCTCAGGCCTAGAAGCCTCCTTCACCTAAGAGTTCCGGGGAAGACCTCCGCCTGCTGCAGCGCAGGGACAACTGCCGGTGCTAAGGCATGAAAAGTACACAAATACACAGAAATTCAGCACCGTGCTCCCAAACGAGCAATTGATGACTAAAGAAATTGAAAGAGCTCTCAGTGAGGACCTAAAATAGCCCTCAAAAGTCTCCTTGGGCTGAAGCTGCATATGGGTGGGGGTTCATGTGTTTATTTCCAATGATCTACATAGATCTATTGAGCTCCCTTCAGCAAGGGTTGGTCCTTGAGTCTTCCAACACTGGGTTTCTGAAGGTGGAGATAATTAACTGGGTCCAAAACCCATAAACTTTCTCATACTTCCCACTTACATTTCCTTCTCTTCTCTCTGCCCCCTCACATGACCTTTCAAACCTCTCCCTTCCAGCTCTTGACTGGGGACACAAAACAAAACTTCAAAATCTACTTTCTCATTTTTTCCTTCTTTTTCAATTTTATGTGAGCTGATTACATTTTATTCCATCCTCACTTCCCCTTTTCTTCCAGTTCTCAGCCTGTCTTCATCACTGCTCTTCAGCGTCCTGGGTTACTGAAGGTGTAGAAGACTTTTTAAATATAAGTTTTTTGGGGCTGGGAATATAGGTCAGTGGCGCAAGCGCAAGGTCCTGAGTTTGACTCCTAGTACCAAAAAAGTAAATAAAAAGTTTTACATCAAGTGTTGATCCAAGACTGGGCCTCTGACTGTTGTTAATAGTGGGAACTGTCACGGACACCGAGCCCTGTTCTTTGAACTGGTGGAGTTAGGTGAGTGCACACGACTCACATCCAAAGCCAAGAACACAGCACGGGGAGAAACCCACATATTCAAGGTACCTCCACTGTATCGCCAGCACTCTCCATCCGAACAAATCTATAAGGCTCAACACAAAACTAGAAGAATAATGAGAAAATAAGGCAACAAAATGCCTCTAAAAATTCATAACCCTGTAAAAGCTGAGGTCCCAGGCACTGACGTGGATGAATTTCCACAGAATTCAAAAACAAATAGTTAACATAACTGAAGAGGATGGGCATTTGGCATACACTTATAATCTCAGCACTCAAAAGGCTGAGGCAGGAGGATCACCATGAGTGTTCGAGGCCAGCCTGAACTACATAGGGAGACCCTGACTGAAAAAACCAAAACCCAAAATAATAACTGAAGAGATCAAGGTCAAACCAACAAACATTACTAAGCAGTTACTAAGACATTCAGTGAGCTCAAAGAAGATGCAAATAAAGTTAAATGATTGTTAGTAAGATGATGAATGAGTTTCAAGGAGATACAAATAAAAAAAACCCACCACATGATCCAGCAATTCTGCTACTGGTCATGTATCCACAGAGATGAAATTGTTATACCAAAAAGATTCCCGCACACCCACGTTTACTGCAGCTTTGTTCACACAGCTTAAAAATACAGGTTCAGTGTGGATGGCCCTCGATGAGAAATGGATGAAGAAAATGCTGTGTATATGTACATAATAGAATACTATTTGCCCATAAAGAAGAATGGCGTCCAAGTTATTTGCAGCAGCTTTGTTTGTTTGTTTGTTTTGTTTTTCTCCGGTACCAGGAACTGAACTCACGACCTTGCACTTGCCAGGCAGGCGCTTTTGCCGCTGAGCTAAATCCCCAGCCCCGAAGCAGCTTTGATAGAAATGGAAGTGATTACGGTGAGTGGAGCAAGCTGGACACAGAAAGACAAACACTACATGTTCTCCTTTGTAGAAACTGAGAAGTCAACCTTCTACAGCGGTCATTAGAGATTGGGAAGGGCGGCGGGGAGCGAGCGGAAAGAAGTTTAACACTGGCACCAAAACAGA